ACCTGTGTGGTCGGTTGATGGCCTTGTCCATATTCATCGGCCACAAGCCCGCCCCTTTGAACGCCGCCGTGGTATTCGCAGGCGTGAAGCTCCCTCTCCGTGCCTCCGCAGCCATGTCGCGCTTCACCAGACTCCCCCCGATTTTCAGTGGATAGGCCATGAGCACCCTGGTGAGCTCCTTCTTGAAGGTTCCGAACGTACCAACGTCCAAGGGCTGGGTGATGTGCGATGTGTGGGACGGGAGCTGGAAGAGGTCGATGTCCAGAGAGATGGCCAAGCTGATGGCGTCGAAGGTCGTGTGCGAGGCGTGGCCGTCGAGCACAAGGGCAACTTTGCCCTGCAAGCCGCGTGCCTCGAGCTGTTCGCGGAGGTCTCGCAGGTAGTCGAGGAACACGTGGCTCTGGATGAAGGATGACTCCGTGACGGTGTACTTCGCAACGGGGATGCCGTTCTTGTCCTGTATCCAAGCAGGTTGCATACGCTGGCCTTTGTAGATGATGATAGGGTTGTAGGTGTGGCCGTCGGCGCCGATGCTGGCGACCACCGTCGTATTTTCTCGCGAGTTGGAGCGCCTCGCGCCGGGCACCTTGGTGCCTCTTGATTGGTTCCAAGCCTAGTGCTGCTGGATAAGCACGGCTGACCAGGTTGACAGGGATGAAGAGATGGTAAAGTCGTTTATTAGGTTGCCCTCGTAGACAAGCAACAGGAGAGAGTGGGCGCCGCGTGCGCCGCAAAGCATCAAGCAACAGCCGCAAGAAATTCACCGACGAAAAGACGCGCAGACTTTCTGCAACACGGAACAATTCCAACTACCAAAGACATGTCGGGAGATACCCCGAAGATCCACGCCCGTGGAACGGTCACTTGCACACGTTTCGCTCTCAAACCATACATGAGTACTACCGCAGTAGTGTTCGAAAGGATGACATAATCCACCTCACGGACACCCTCCCTGATTCTGTACATCGTCACGAATGCTCGCAAAATCAAGGTATTCAGGGTACTCATAGAAAAGAAAAAATAAACGAAGGGAAACCCGGCCACCGGATCAAAAACCCTCCGCCTCCAAGGTCGTCCTGCTGAATGACATGTCAACACAAAATCAACACAGCAGTCACCAAATTGCAAACCTCCGCGTTTACAAATGATATCAGACATTTGCTACTCCTTATCAAGTAGCCCCCTCCCAGCAACGAGATCCTTCCTGTATCAAGTTGCTGTAAGCGCCGGGGCGCGTCTACAGCCCCAGGCACCAAGGCCAAAAAGCAGCGGAAAAACGAAAAAATTGACGCTACATCGCTNTAAGATGAGCATGGGCGACCAGACAAGCAACGTCGAGTTTCGTCGGCTGCCTGCGTAACAGCTACAACCACAAGGGGGCAGCAAGCAAATCAGGAAAAAAACAAGACACACACACGCCCGGAGAAAAAAAATGACGTCCAACAATTTATAACAACAGTTGCATCGTCGGACATTCGGAGGCAGCTTTCCATAAAAAAATAACCACTCGCACACGGGGGAAGAGACAGTCTTGGTGGACAGCATAGCAACACGCCGGAATATTCAAAGCGCTTCGTACGCGACGTCCAACTCTTCTACTTCCATCGCGGCCACGGCAACTTCACTCGCCACTTTCGATGCGCATTTTTTCACATGGTGCCCTCTTCCTCCGCACCTCTGGCAGACCTGTTGAGGGCACTCGTGGGCATAGTGGTTTGCGGAGCAGATGTGGCAGCGGACAGACTTTTTCTCCGCGGCACCCTCACTCGCTACGCATGCCTGTTCATCCCCTCTGTTTTTCTTCCTCGACCGTCGCCTCCTCCTAGACCCCTCCCCGACTGCTACGAACGCATGTTGCACTCGCCCGTCAACCTTCCCCTTTGACCCGTTGTCCTTCTTTAAGTACCCAGCCCTGGTCCTTAGCACTCTCAACATCTCCTCCTCTTCCAGAATCTTCTCGCTGAGCAGTTGTTGCTTTTGCACGTCGTACTCGGAGGAAAGAGCGTCAAGGAATCGGGCGTACACAAGCATCTTGGGGATGGGCTGGTCGCGTGCTAACTCCAGGCTAGTTACGATAGACTTGAACTGTTGGAAGAAACTCGGGGATCCTGGTTTCTCTCTTGTCGGGCAGTATAGAACTTTCCGATCAGCGAAATCTGCTCGCCACCAGTTAGTGGGGTGAACGTCTGCTCAAGTGCACGCCACGCTGCGGAGGGCCCCTTACTGTTGTAAACCATTAGCTTGGTAGTCTCGTCTGAAATCGCTCCTACCAACATTCCCCACACATCCCGGTACACATGGACCTCTTCTGCAGCTACCCCCTGTTCTATCATGCCATCGTCATCCTTCCCTTGGATCTCAATGTCTCGGCTATCGTTCAGAACATGCATCATTCCGCATGTTTGCACCTGCGTCGTGAAGTCGTTCTTGAACATTAGCCAGTTCTTTTCTTGGCCATCGAAGTTTAGCTGCTTGAGGCGCGGAATCCGGGCATTCATGGTTGGGTCGTACCGTGCCGGTGGGTCACTGGTTGCGCTATCGTGCGAGACGTCCCCCACAGACGGCAGCGTGGGTCCTTGCGGGGCTGTGTCCGGCAGTCCTCGTGCTCCCTCGAGCCCCTGTCCGGTGGTCGGCGCTTGATCCACACGACCAGCGCCGGGAGGGGCGTGCCTTCCCCCCCGTGACTCTCCCCCGCCGCCCGCTCCGGTCGTACTTCCGGCGGGCGGTGTCTCGGGCACTAACCGAGACAGGGCTTCCATGACGGTCCCTAACTTCTCGGTCATCATACTCTCCATTCTGGCGGTGGCCTCGTCGACGGCAGTCCTGAGCTCCTCGTGAGTCGGGGCTGCCTTGCCCTTGCCAGCATCTCCAGATCCAGCCGACATGTGTCCGCTTCACCAGGGGAATATGGGGTTAACCTTCACTCTAGAGTGTTGATTGGTTCCAAGCCTAGTGCTGCTGGATAAGCACGGCTGACCAGGTTGACAGGGATGAAGAGATGGTAAAGTCGTTTATTAGGTTGCCCTCGTAGACAAGCAACAGGAGAGAGTGGGCGCCGCGTGCGCCGCAAAGCATCAAGCAACAGCCGCAAGAAATTCACCGACGAAAAGACGCGCAGACTTTCTGCAACACGGAACAATTCCAACTACCAAAGACATGTCGGGAGATACCCCGAAGATCCACGCCCGNTACACACAATGCCGCGGCAGCAGCGCTCGCACACACAAACAAGCGCGCTTTCACACGCACATGAGCGCAGCTCGCACCGGGCGGTGGCACACAGCGGTGGTGACGGGACCATTTTTTTTCTTCAACAGCAGTCGGATTCGTTTAGACTTTGGGTGTGGATAAACAACCCCACACCCATGAAAATTTACATTGAGCTCGAAACCAAGGTGGGTTTACAAGTCAAAGCGTCCTACTGAAGTCTCGACTTGACTGCACCTCGCACAGCATTGGCAACACACGTGCATGCGGACCAACACCGCACACGCCCGCTGTCGCGTGTGGTACACAAAAACACCGTGTAGAATATCGTACATGAGCCCTACAATTTCTGTGCTAGAGTATAACTGAGATGACCACAGGGATTGTTGCATGCTGAACCCTCAACCGGATCCAGTATCATATGCATATGAGCGTTGTGTGCTACAAGCATGGCAAGCAGCAGCGGCCACGGAAAGACATGCGGAACAACTGCTGTTTTTTTGCAGCAGCAGCAGCAGCAGCAGCAGCAGCAGAACTCCGCGTTGTTGTGACACACATCACACATCGCACTGCTGCTGGTACATCGCCTACGAACCCACAGCAATCGATACTGACACCACTGACACCTCAGCCCTTGCCCTAACTCACTTGTCTCATCCGCGTTGATGATGCGGTCCGGCGTGAGCTTGGTCTCCGCGAGGTACGTTTCCCATGTCTCGTAGAAGCCTTCAAGGCGAGGCTCGTCGTCTTTATTGATCCGGTTTGCTTCGGAGATGTGGGTGGCTCGCTCCGACAACCCCGGGTGCCTCGCCATGAATCCCTCAAGCCAGCTGTCCCCCGGGCCCTTGTCTGGGTCCCAGGGCACCTTGCGCCCGTCTTAGTAGATCGTCCGCACAGCTTCTTTCAGCTCCCTCCGACCCAAGTGCAAGAAGTGTCGCCTCTCTACATCTTCCTCCTTGCACAGGACAGTCCCGGGACCAACCCTCGCATCTATGGCCACCTCCTTCTTCACACAGCGGTGGTATTGGACAGTTACACCCTTAGACTAGTCAGCGCTGACTCGACTAATGGTGTAACTTTATTTAAAAAAAGATATGCTCCGAGCTAATTTGCATCCGGCAGGATCACTTGGGTTTTATGGCTTAGAAATCACTGGGATTAAGAGTTTTCGTTTTGACATATGGCAACAAAGGATACCCGCACGAGTTCAAATACCGACAGGATCACTTTTCTTTGCAAAGAGTGCACCTAGAATTATCAGGGTCTGGCGAGGGCTCCGTCCCCGGAGATCCCTGCTCTCAATCCCAGTGATTTATTTAGCCATAAAGCCCAAGCGATCCTGCCGGGTGCAAATGAGCTCTGAGCATATCGTTTATTAGATAGAGTTACACCCTTAGACTAGTCAGCGCTCACTATTCTAAGGGTGTAACTTTATCTAATAGGTGGAGCAAGGTCGGGTTCAACCCGTAGGTGTCCGCAGCAACCTTAAACATGTCACCGCTGCGTACTGCATCGACAACCTTCTGGGCCCGCTCTGGGTCTACTCTCGCCCGTCCCATGCTTAGCAGCAGGACCCCAGCAAGGGCAAAGATGGCCCACATCAGGGGTGTGGGTGGGGGCTGTGCTGTCGCTCGGCAGTGCTTCACCCGATCGGCACGCTGACGAGCTCAAACGAAAGCTAACGGAAAGATATTAAAAAAAAAAATTAGGGGTCCCCGCGAATTGTGCGCGGAGATACGTCCGTTTAAAACAAGTGTTCCATAATGAGGGGATGTTCCGTAGTACCCGTGTGTACCCTATACGTAGTTCGCCTGTTTCGTGCGTTGGGACATATATTTCGCTAGAGGAAGCGAGTCTTTTCTCACCCTCCCTTCTCAGAGGCGCGAACGGGGATCGTCGGATCATTACCGCGCACGCCCGAGGAGGACCGCCAACCACACGCGGGACCGCCAACCACCCGTGACGCGTGTGCTTGACGCCCAAAGCTGAAAAACTGGCTACAGTGGGGGCTACGGTATAAGAGAGGGCTGTGCATCACCCAGAAGACTTCTCTTAAACACGACCTTCTCTTAATACGGTTTAAGAGAGGTGTTCTCTTAAACCGTACATTCGGGTTAAGAGAAAACCTCTCTTAAACCGATTATATGTCTTTTAACAGGGTCTAACATGATGGAAGTTATGAAAAGTATTTTTTTTTGTTTTCCACAAGATATTCGTGCGTTATCGGGCCCTCACCAAGCGTGATCCCTCCTTGTTGTGTTCGAAGCACAACCGATGTAACTATTATGTGGTCTCCAAGGTGTACTCCGACCTCATCTCGACAAACAGCAGTGCATATCATAGGATAGCTACCAACAGAACACAGAGACGTGAGCATCACACACACAAAACACTCTAGACCAGTGACTCAAGCACCTACAGCAGTACAAGTGGTACACCCTACCCTAAAAAAAAAAAACAGACGTCCATGAACATCGCCTGTGGGCAGCTTCTGCAACTTTACATGAAGTCTGCCATGCATGTTTGCTTCATTTTCTTTGACCCAGCCTCGCTCATCCAGGCTAACTTCGCCTTGCGAAGATGGTAAGCTACCCCGGCCATGCTGCACCTGTCTGCTATTTCTTCGAGGTCTCCGACCAGCCTAGATACGTACGTCAGCGTACGGTGGCGGACGAGGAGAGACCAGGGGCTGCGTACACTGTCCCTCGTCTCCCGCCGAAGAGTCGGCCTCGTCGTCGTCCGAGTCTATGTTCAGTTGGTCCATGTTCAGGTGGGCAAGCGACTCCTCACAAAGATCGTCCTTCAGATCTGCAATAATCGCCTCCGCTACACCCTCTTTTTCCTCTACACGCAACCATGTCTGCACGGCTTCCATGGAAGCTCGGGGTGGCGTTGCGCCAGGTGCAAACCCCAGACCCTTAAGCGCCTCGCCAAGGTGTTCATCGACAGTTGTCTTCTTCGTCTCAAGGGAAAGACGCTGCACCAAGTCCATCAACTCTTCGAGACTCTCCTTGTTGCGGATATTCTTTCCCACGTCCTGGTCGAGGTCCGCGTGCACCGCAGGAGGAAGGATGTCACATTTCCTCCAGCACCATGGAAACGATGAATAGTCAAAGTACGCGGGAAGGAGAGAGAAACGTGCATGGCGAGCAAAGAAAAAATCAGAACGAGCCGAACGAAAAAAAGCATGTCATCATTGTTTCAATTCAAACAAAACTTGCAAGATGATGGCGTCAGTTAACAATTTCGTCAACGTGCAATATACGTGGTAACGGTGTGTGTCTAGAGGGGGGAAATTATACAGCAGTTATTGAATAATGTCGTGAACACCACCACACGGACACACCTCTTGATTGTCTCCGGCAAAACTTCCTTCCACGCCTCGAGGCCTAGCTCAGCTGCGTCCAGGATGTGAGGCTGCGCTCCTTCCGCGAGCCCCATGCAGCCCCGAATCACCTTGCGTTCCTTCGCCTGCTAACGTAGCTGCGCCGCCGACGTCATCGTGTCGACGCGAATCCCCAGCAGCTTCGTCCTGTACCGCTCCAGGCTGCGATGATCCCGGCATCCATGGGCTGGTGCTTGCTCGTGCAGTTGGGTCGCAGCTCAAGAAATCTTCACCTGCTCCTTGGGGTCTACGAGGTCGGCGTGGCTGATGTGGTTGTCCATAATGAGAAGAACCTTCTCGCTGGTGACGGAGCGCACGTGTGGCAGGAACACTTGCGACCACCACAGCTTGAACACTCACGCGTCCGACTACGCGTTCTTCTGGCTGAAGTACTTGATGGGTGAGCCCCGGATCTTGAAGCACCGGGGCTCCTTGGCTGTGCCGATAAAAGACAGCGGCACCTTACGCCCGCTGGCGCTCGTAGCCATTTAGGCGGTGACTCGATCCTACGCTCTCATACCTTTCACGCCTCGCACAGTGTTCTTGAGCTCTGATGGTGCGAGGTATGTAGCCTTGGGCATAATCCTGTAGCACAGCCCGGTATCGTCGGCGCTGTAGACGCATTCTGGGGCATACTGAGCGCACGTCTCGCGGATTACTCTGAGGCAATCGGCGATGGCTTCGTCGTCGACGCTGCCTGCTTCGCCGTGAAGTGCAGGTTGTTGCGCTTGATAAACTTTTTTACCCACCCCTCGGACGCGTTGAAGCCACTGTACTGCACACGCTCGGCGTCCGTAGATGCTGCGATCTCGAGAGCACGACGAGCTTTGCGCCCGAATGCCTGGATCGCGTCCCGGTTGACAAGCATTCTCAGTGCCCTCGCCTGCAACAACATTTCCATGACTGCTTGCTCCACCTGGAGAAGAAAAGAGGACATATTTATTCACGGATTTAGCAGCTGTGGTGTGTGCACTGCTGTTACTGCTCTGCTGTATATCATTTCATCCTACAGCAAATACTGCACGGCATGATACAGCGTACCTATGCCACACTAGCCGGTTGCTGGACAAAAATGGCCACAAACATACTCGGAACTAAACTACTGCTGCTGCTGTACACAAGAACTGCTGTTCATAAACTGCTGTACACGACCCCGCTTGTACAAGAAAAATTCAAAATTCAAAAACAAAATCAAAATACACTCGGAGTTACTGCCGTACTCTGCTGTGTACTGCTGTACAGCAAACATAGCTGAGCACCCACCTTCGCAAACTCAGCCCCCTTCGTAGTCTTGGCGCCGGTCATGGAGACTGCTGCCTGTTGTCTGATGTCTGCTTCCTTAGCTCTCCACCCGTACAAGGTGCTCACCCCGATCACCATGTCCTTCGCGATTGCTACGCCGCTCATGCTCTTCAAAAAAAGGTCGAGCGCCCGAACTTTGTCTTCGAGCGTCGGTCGTACGCGGTTTTCGGCGCCACGAACTTTCCTACGTGCGGTGTTGCCAACGGGTTTCAAGCTGCCCAGTGCACCCGCTCGCTTCTCCTTCCCCGTTGCCCGCCCGTCCGGGCAGGGGCGCTTCGAAGATGCAGCCCCAGCAGTCGAGTCTGTGCTTGATTCCTTGCGGTTGCTCGAGTTGACACATCCGTGGCAATCACGGACGGTGCATCTCGTTGTCGCCAAGCGGGTCATGCACACCGCACAGTCCATGAAAGTAGCCTCCGCAGACACGGCATGGGTGGTTCGTAAACAGTGGGGGGCCGGGTGTGTGGTCCGGCGTTGCCAGGCAGCGGGAACCCGCGGCGTAAGGCATCCGTGGGAGCTGCGTGTCTCGCTAGCTATGATGGCCTACTGCTGCATAGTGCCGGTTGAATAGTGCCGGTTGCCGGTATGTTGCCGGTGTTTTCGGCTCGCACACACCTGCTATACGGCTGCATGACATGGTCCCCACGCCGCAACCACTACGGAATGCTGCAGACGACACACCACCGGCTACTCCTGCGAGTCATCGGCTACCGGCGCAAACGAGGCACCTACCGGCAGCTGTCATACGCCCAGGCGCTAAAGATGGTCGGCTGCCAGAGCGTGGAGGCCACTGTCCGTCAACGGCGCCTGCTCTTTGCGGGG